GGTATCTCCAGTTTCGCTTGTTTATGATTTTCTGTGAATTTTAAGGCATGTTTATCTTTCTTCGTCTGTGTGTGTGACTTTCATTTTTTGAGGGAGGTTACCTTTGTCGGTATATTTCAATTTTGTACATCTGTCGCAGCCTGTTAAATCTTCAATATAAACATTGACTTAGAAGCAAAAACATAGACTTACTAAAGAAACACACGTCACAGTTGGGAAAGCTAGTTTCAGTTTTTTCTGTTGTCCTGTAGACAAACAAAGTCCTATTGTAAAAAAGAGACTGTAGTGGCCTTTCTGTGTATTCTTTCCACCAAGCTGAAGGAAAGTGGTAAGTTTACAATATTATTTACAGTTAACTATCTTATTGCTTGGTTTTTAAACAAATTGACCTTTATAAGTCAGGAAATATTTATTGAAATCGCTAATTATGTTTCCCTGCCAAAAATTTCTGACAGCAATAAAGTAATGAGAGAAAGGTCTATTTCACTTTCGTCTAAAAGTTTGTTTCTTTGAAGGCAGAGGAAATCCCATAATGGATTGTTGACCATTTAACTATGCGCATGTCTAGGTAGATGGATTGTTGAAGTTCAATGTTTGCTCTTTTTCCACTTATTTAAACTGATAATGTTATTTTGTTTTAAAAATATTCCAGTAGAAATGAAAGTCGCGTGTAGTAACCAGAAATGTGCGAAACCGAGAATAATTTGGATTTCAAGATGAATTTCAATTTTCAGACCTTAACAGTAAAAGCATCGTAGGAAAAATTTTGCGATGAATTAAATCGTTCCGTCGAGCTGTGCTGACTGACAAAGAGGCAAAATAAGATTTTTTTGTTATATAATTGCTTCATTTAATTTTCAGATCAGATTTTGAAGATCAAACGACAGAACAGTAATTAAAAAGTGTTTTGGTTCATAAAATCATTTATTAAAGTCTCAGCAGATAACAGCAAATGACCGCAATGTATTTTCATTGATTCTAGCATTAGTTATCTTTACTTGAGTAAGCCTTAGTATCGCCCAGCAGGTGGTACAATTAACTGATCGGAATCAGCTTACAATTAGCTTTTGAGGCATGAAATAATTCTCTTCATATTTTTTGCTTCATAAACCTTTCCATAAATATATAGTTTCCTACAGTTTAGAATAATATTTTTAACCAAAATTGCTATTAATCTTGCAATCTGACTGGCTAATTTGCCGTTGTCGATAAGAGTCCAGACGGACAACGCTGCTCGCGTCAATGTGTCACGCAATGCGTTTTTCAGCTCGTGCTCTGACGTTGATATTGTGGTAAAAAACAAATCGAATGTGGTTTAGCGTTGTCTGTACTCTTATCCACAACGACATACGTCACCACAGTGGTCAAAATTTTGTCCACAACAAAATTATTTTCGATTTGTTAATTACATCACAAACCTTGCTGCAAAATAGCCTGTTTGTTAGGTGTGCCCCGCCTTTAGCCCTTTTCTAAATGTAAAATGGAAAGCTCGACCTCGTTCTCACGCAGGGTCTCTCTGCTTCTAATTCCGCCTCCCTCCCCGGTAAATTGCCTCAAAACACTTAACCAGCTTTCCCTGTAGAATAACAACTATTTAAAATGGCAAACTGAAGGCTCTTGTAAAACATCATGTTTATTAATAACGGTCAAACTACTTGCGATCAGGCGCTCTTTTTTTTCGCAGCAGGCCAGAGGAAGGAGAAAAAAGAACGTCTAATATAATCACTTCACGAGTCGTCTGCCCGTAGTCCAGAATCTAAACTTTTACTGATTGATCGTAAAACAAAAGAGTATATAAGCCGCCTGCCTTTCTCATTGGTTACTTGACTGGGTATCTGACTTCCGGTACAATTTCAAACATGAAGCCTGGCGGCTGTTCTTATAAATATATTTGTATATAGCGATTTTTCAGCTCGGAGGCCGTGATCTTGCGCGGCTGTAACTTCGTCTCTTCAAGATTTATTCACAAATACTTAAAGAAACAGCAGTTGGAATGCATCCGGAAGATCGTCCACTGAAAAGAAAAGTTTTAGCAATTTTTTCGACGGGATTTGGCAAGAGCGCCATTAATTATTTGATTCTGAAACTGTCAAAAACATCTGCGGTTGACCTAATTAAGGTGTAGGCAGTCCCCTGGAATATATCTGTTGCAATGTTTATTCTCGCATTGTTGTAACCTCTTCCAGGCGTTCAGCTACTTAGGGCGAAGCGCGAAAAACGGCCTTCCAATTTTTAATTTTTTTCTCGCGCTGTTTTTCGCACTTCGCTCCAACTAATTGAACGTCTGGAAGAGGCTAGCATTGTTCAGACGTTTGACCACTTCCGATCTGATGTTCCAGTGATTTTTTCAAAATATTCTATTGTTTCCTGACGTAAACAAAGACATTTAAACTTTCCAGTTACATTGACTTCCAATCGGCCGCATGAATTTTCAGGTAAAATCTGATTGGCTCACATTTATAGAATGAAACGCGATAACATTGTTAATGTCAGTTGAGCAACGAAATGGCAGCAGAGGATTCGTAAAGCAAATGTATCAGGTGTTCTTTTTTTTCTCTGCCCCAATTCGCCCCCC